TAGAATTGATATGGCGATGACATAAATTATGATGATGCTTACCAACCAACCTTTAGACACACTATCCAAATAATACCGATCAAGAATATAGATGTTAGTCACAACTTTTTGATGGTGGTTGCAATAACCTTTGTGGTCGTAATAACCTTTGTGATTGTAATAACCTTTGTGATTGTAATAACCTTTGTGGTCGTAATAACCTTTGTGGTCGTAATAACCTTTGTGATTGTAATAACCTTTGTGGTCGTAATAACCTTTGTGATTGTAATAACCTTTGTGGTCATAATAAATAACCTTTGTGATCGTAATAACCTTTGTGATTGTAATAACCTTTGTGGTCATAATAAATAACCTTTGTGATCGTAATAACCTTTGTGATTGTAATAACCTTTGTGGTCATAATAAATAACCTTTGTGATCGTAATAACCTTTGTGATCGTTTTGCTTTCTTCTTTGAATTGTAATATGGACATATTTGTCAATAAAACATCATAAAAAAGATCAAGATGTGTAACTACATTAGAAGCTAAAACTACATTACATCTGTTATCCAAGAATAAATTTCTGAAGAATAAAAATTAAACTATCTTACCTACTTTAAATATGAAAGCAGATCTAAGTGACATTGCTCAATAAAAAGTAATGAAAATATACGTTTTATATATTTTTGAAAATTCTGTCAAGTGAGTCATCTTTATGGTACTAATGAAGTCTAAAGAACAAGGTTCACTTTGGTTTATTGACTATTGTAATCAGCATAAAGCTGCCTTGTTGAAAAGAATCAATGTTTTTAGTGTAAATTTTCATGTGTATTTTAACCCATTATTGTGAGTTCGAAAAGTAGCTTTATTTTAAATAAAAGGTGCCAAAATATTTATTGAAACTTTAAGAAAATTTTTTATATATATCATTTTTTTAATCTATTAAGAAGTTTATGTGTTATAAATGTTAAAAGAAATTATTGGCATTCAAGTGAATGTTACATGCACTAATTAAAAAAAAGAGAAAGGATTTGCACACTGACTGTTATATACAGAATCAAAAAGTATGTTAAAAATTCCGTACCTTATATGCGGAATCAAAATGTACCTTTTCAGTATTATTATTATAATTTTCTTAATTCTGTACATTTCCTGTATACATCCATAAATTGTATTACATTGATAAATTCCAAAACGTAGATTAAATATGTCCATTACATATCTAAAAATTTATTCTGTATCAAATATAGGGAAATTCTTATACATTCATATGTTTATTTTCTATAGGGATGGTTGCTACCATCTTTGTGTCATATAAAAATTATTGCAACTGCTGGTTGCAACTGCCTTTACAACCATTTTGTTTCCTTTTTTGGATTGCAACATGGAACACTATATTCGTTTTGTTGGTTTTGTACATTTTACAAAATATAAAATATTAATTCACAACTTGATGCAACAAATATCTTTGTTATTGCTAAGGAATTGTAAAATTATAAATAAGGCTTATTTCCATCAGGAAATTAATTTAGCGTAAACTTGCATAAATCTTACGATGCCAATGTAATATTGTGTAAATCTTACAGTGCCGACGTAAGTTTTACACTTTTTTATTATTAAACTTACAATTGACACGTGTAAAATTTTTTTATATTTTCTGGATGCTACCACCCATTCCAATTTATCCAAGTACTTTGCATCAAGGGCTTTAGCTAATCCAAATATACCATACCCAGAAAAAGTAGAAATCAAGGTATTACACATAGCTTTGTTGGTGTGCCATTGTCCCAAAATACAATTCAAGGATTGATGAGGATTTGAATAATCATTTAATCGCTAATAAATTGCTTAATCACAGGCCAAATCTAAAGTACCAGACATACCAAATCATTTAGGTACATATCACAAGATTCATGCACATTAGGATTGGAATTTGGTTCTGGGCCTCTGTCCAAAATTACAAGTGAGACATCAAAAATATTTCCATAAGAATATGTATGTTCACTGATGTCAATATTGTCAACCACAGCAAGATTCCAAACATTTGGTCCAATTTTAAGTCTTGATGCTAGTACAATATTTGATATATGTTTTTGATGAATCCTAGATTCATGATGCTTTGGTGTGTGATTGGGGGGTCCAATACCATATGTGTTATTTAATGGTAACAAAAATTACCCCTCAATTTTTATATGTAGACCAATAAAAATTTAATTTCTAAATGGTTTAATGACAATAAATAGTATCAGATTGGAATAAAACTTTTTCTCAAAACAATTATTGTGTAACAATATTTGGCTTTATTCTAATAAAAAAACAATACATTGCAAGTAAAAAGTTTATGTGCTGAATTTAAAGAAGTTAAATTCTTTATTTCCTTGATATTAATTGAGGCTTTTATATTCACTTTATTCAATTATGAATATTATGAATTAAAATTTAGTATTAAAAAATGATCTGCAAAGAATTTTAAAATAATTAAAACAAATAAAATTCAAAGCCTTATAACTTTTAAACCATTAAATATATTGAAGTAAGATTATGTTTATTGAATTATTTTCATCATGGTCTTTAAAAAAATGAAGTCCTTTTTTCATTTTTTTTAATATTAATTAGGTTTTTGTAATCAGTTTCTACCTAATTTATATGAAATTAAAAAAAAGCTCTTCATTTTTTTATTGTCCTATGGTTCAAATATATATATCCTTAATTTGAAATGTGTAACATATTTCCTTCAGAAGTTATAAGAGTTTGAGTTTTACATTTTTTTCGCCATTGAAAAATTCGAAAAATGATCACCATTAAAAAATCCTTAATAATGAAAATTAATATATGGCTTCATATATGCAACCAATAAAAATTGGCATAAATCACATGATATGTTCACTAAAATCCCAACCTTGAAAATTTAGAAGCTGACCAATATAGATGATCTGCACCATTGGCGAATGCTGATCATTTCAGGTTTGTTACTCGTCGCAAAATTTATCAATCCATTGTCATTAAAATTTTTTCGAAAATTTGCTTGCAAGTCTTGGAGGTTAATGGATGCTTATAATATCCTTTAATATTTTGCCAAATACCTTTCCAAATTTGTCCGGATATGCTTTAATTTGGAGCATAATAATAATACCTATTTTTTACTCTAAAATAAAGCCAGATTAACCCTTTTATAAACATGTACTCCCCTTTTGGGCATGTGTTACATAAGAAGTCATACCAGTTCAAATATTGGTTTTGTAAGAGATCATCAATTGATCAAAATGAAAATGATTTATTTTTTATTATTATTAAAAAAATATACTTTCTAATTAATAACAGATAATTTGCAATCATTAAAAAAAATTTTTGAAATAAATAAATAAATTACAAATATCTAAGAACTAATATATGAAAATAAATAAAACAATAATAATAATGAATGCTAAAGTTATAAAATGAATTTGATTGATCGTGCAAAAAAAAAACATCCCAATATTATTTAATTAATGTAGATGATATGATTAATTATACTTTATAAGGTTGTATGGGTGGCGTTGATATATTTGAATATTTTTTATCTTTGTTGTTTTGATCTTGTGGTTCTTCTTTGAATATAGAATCATCATTGTATATTGAAGCCGGCATTTTGCTTTGAATTGAATTAAATACAGTTAGCAAAAAAAAAACATAACCATTAAAAAAAACGTTGAAAGTTACCCTAAAGCCTTAGAACTTGGTCCTGATTGTATTTTATGATCATTGTATCCGTTATTATCTCCAAATGGATCCTCATATGGAGTCTCCCTACTAATTATTAAAAGATATTTATAAAAATTTGAATATACCATATATACGTTGGTAATGTATATTATTATTACCTTCCACCAACTCCTGCTGCACTTTCAAGCCCTTCATTAAATAAATTCTCTTCGTCACGTCTATTTGTAATTTTCTATAAAAATATAAATTATTTATTTATTTTTATAATATTTATTTTTTGTAAATAAAATAGTAGAATTATTACCGTTGACTTTAACTTTGCCACTAAAAGAAGACCTCTTTCAACCATGTCATCATACATTTTGAAACCGTTCAAAAGTTCTTGATTTACTGATAGAAGTGTCTCTATATATATATATATATATACATATATATATTAACATCTTAAGAATTATTTAAAAAAGTAAAATTACGCAAAAATAAAATGATTTCTATTATTTACCAATCCATTCTTCATCTTGAACTTCTGATAGATATTTCATCAAATTGTCATGTAAAGCTTGACATTTTTTATAAAATTCCTATTATTAGGATAAATATAGAGTAAATAAATTAAATAATCTAAATCTAACTTGTGTGATTGGATAAAATAAATTTTTTTACCTGAATTAACTCGTTTTTAGTAATATCTTCGCTTTCAGGATCAGTAAACGATAATGTTTGTGTAAGCAATTGTACATTGTTCTTAGCAACCTCGATATCTTCTGCAATTTTTGCTTCCAATGACTATTAAGGAAGAAAATACCAATATTTGAATCACACAGACGATATTAAAAGAGCATTAATTTATTTGTTTTTCGTTTTTTATACATACAACATCCCAATTTCTATCTTGGCCATCATAATATCGTGTCTAAATATTTCAGTAAGAAGAATTTGTGATCTATTAACATGATAAAAATCAATACATATATATCTCCTATGTATATTGTGCCTGTAAATAAATACCTGTGAAGGAACTTGTGATCCTTGATTCCCTGTAAGCTTTGTATAAAGATTGTAAAATTGGTACAGACTAGGTTCATTTTGAAACGTATTAGCTAAAGCGGCCAATAATTGAATGACTTTTTGTTTAACAGTAGCATCAGTTTGAGGTGAGATTACTAATGCTTCCAATTCGTCAAGAAATTTTTTTGATGCAATTTCAGCTATTAAAAAAACCAATGATCATAATCATGATATATGGTTAAATTAATAAAGTTAATAAAAATGATGATAATAGTAATACAACAAGAAGATAGAAATTTCGGATATTAACCATGAAATTTTGCACCACAATTGTCAGCCATCGCTTTTATTAACTATTATAATTATTAACTATTAATTATATAGATCGTAACAACCGAACTAAAATTTCTTTTATAAAACATACCGTTAAGATTCGGAGGTGAACATTAGGAGGCTGCGACCTAGATAATTTTTTCCTAATAAATTTAGCTGCTTCCTTTGCCCCAGTATCTGATTTATTTATGGATTCACATGTGATAGCAATTAGGTTCCAATCATCCTCTTTTTTAACAATACAATGTTCTATTAAATAATGGAAGTGTATATATAAAAGAAAACATTAGAAAATAATCACATATAATATATACATACATATATGAGTGTAAAATAGTCAAACCTAAGCTTTCAATAATATGACTCTTATGTTTATCAAAATCAAATATTTTCATTTTTTGTTTAAAGAATTAAAGAATTAAATATTTATTTATTTATTTTACAAGGTTGTTTTTTTCAAAGATAAAAACAATTTAAATATTTTGAAAGAATGATGGCCAAGGAAATTTCTTTTCCTTATTTGTTTCACAACTTTTAAAATTGGTATAAACCTTTATAGTAATATTTTTTTTGTAACACGAACATTTATTCCTCCTTGAAAGCTAGGTCAGCCAACAAGGACAAAAGTTTAAGGCTGAACTCTTAGCCCTAAGGGTAAATCTCAAGTTACTCTCAAAGCAAGCTCGAGGTTCACCCTCAAGCAAAAAAATTTCCATTTTTGGTATCAATATTTTTTGTGTAGCTTGAGAATACCCTCAAGTGCTTAGGTTTTATCCTCAAGCACATGGGTTTTATTCTCAAGTGCATGAGTTTTATCCTCAAGTGACTTGGGCACAAATTTCTATACACAGTGAATAAACCATAAAAAGGAAGTAAAACAGGCCAAAAGTATGACACACCACATTTTGTTGTAAAATTTTTGTTTGATACGTCCAATTGTAAGAAATAAACGCAAATAATTAAAGTTTTTCATTTCTACATAAATAATGACGATTAAAATAATTAGATGATGTGAGCACGCAACAATAATATACAAATTGTCAAAAAGAAGAGAAATGTAATGATATTTAATATTATTAAAATGCGTCAACAAATTGTGATTAAAATCAATATTAAATAACATTACTAAATATTAATTATAAATAAGTTTTGAATATTATATGCAATAGAATTCAGGCTTTCTTTTGAATCTAAGACCATTCAATTCGATAAAGTACTTAGCAAGATACAAAAATATATGGTAATAGGTAAAGAACTATTGCATATCATATAACTAGATACATAGTAATAAGATTTTGTTCGGTATAACAAAAATCCGTTATAACGAGGTTTGACTGTATGGAAATACCAAATTTAGCATATTCTATGACGTGACCATAATAATAAATTGATCGACATTTCTCTATTATATACAAGAGGAACAAGAATATGACGCAAAAAAAGAATTCTGATTCCCCAAAAGCCAACACAACAACAGTACAGGATAATGAAAAGAAAATAACAGAAGAAGAAGAAGCAATTAATGATAATGGTGATAATAAAACAGAAACAGGTAATAAATCAAATACAAAACCCAAAAAAAAGAAGAAAAAAAAAGCTAAAACAACAAAAGTGGAAGAATTGGAATTAAATAATTCATCAAATAAATTAAACAAAGATGATTTGGACGAGATTGTAGATTATATTTTGAGGTGATTTTCTTTAAGATTAAAGATGATGATAATAAAAAATAAAAAATTTATACATATCCTCTTACAGTGATAAACCACCGCCATCATCCCAGATATGTGCAATGCTAAAGTGTAAACAAAGTCTTAAAATTGTGAGTCATAATTGTCAATATTGCAACATGAAATTTTGTACATCGCATAGGTAGGAGTTTGTTGTTAGTTTTATGAGTTAATAATTATGATAAGATTTTTGATCAATATATTATTCCTTAAAAGACATCCTGAAGCACACTCGCAAAAATGTGTAGAAAAGGCAAGAGATACGGCACACAATTTGTATAAACAAGATTCAATTCGCCTAATTACAGAAGAAAGAAAAAATCCAGGAATAATTAATAAGAAAAATTATAATGCCGAAAAAAATAAAGATGAATTAAAAAAAAGATATAAAGAAAAGTTAAACAAAAAAAGACAAGAAGAAAGAGGCAGCAGTGTTATATAATAAATGAATTATTTGGTTATTATTAGTATTTTCTTTGCTATATTATAATATATAAAATATATCAAATTTGTTCGAAATAAAAGTTTTTTTATAAAATATATTCAAATATTATTGCGAGTTCAAATATCAAAAAAAAAACAGGATAATGAAAAGAAAATAACAGAAGAAGAAGAAGCAATTAATGATAATGGTGATAATAAAACAGAAACAGGTAATAAATCAAATACAAAACCCAAAAAAAAGAAGAAAAAAAAAGCTAAAACAACAAAAGTGGAAGAATTGGAATTAAATAATTCATCAAATAAATTAAACAAAGATGATTTGGACGAGATTGTAGATTATATTTTGAGGTGATTTTCTTTAAGATTAAAGATGATGATAATAAAAAATAAAAAATTTATACATATCCTCTTACAGTGATAAACCACCGCCATCATCCCAGATATGTGCAATGCTAAAGTGTAAACAAAGTCTTAAAATTGTGAGTCATAATTGTCAATATTGCAACATGAAATTTTGTACATCGCATAGGTAGGAGTTTGTTGTTAGTTTTATGAGTTAATAATTATGATAAGATTTTTGATCAATATATTATTCCTTAAAAGACATCCTGAAGCACACTCGCAAAAATGTGTAGAAAAGGCAAGAGATACGGCACACAATTTGTATAAACAAGATTCAATTCGCCTAATTACAGAAGAAAGAAAAAATCCAGGAATAATTAATAAGAAAAATTATAATGCCGAAAAAAATAAAGATGAATTAAAAAAAAGATATAAAGAAAAGTTAAACAAAAAAAGACAAGAAGAAAGAGGCAGCAGTGTTATATAATAAATGAATTATTTGGTTATTATTAGTATTTTCTTTGCTATATTATAATATATAAAATATATCAAATTTGTTCGAAATAAAAGTTTTTTTATAAAATATATTCAAATATTATTGCGAGTTCAAATATCAAAAAAAAACCCCCTCAAATAATATAACAATAATGAAATTAAGTTTATTTTCTAAAAAAATAAAAAAAAAAATAAAAAAAAATTAAGAATAGATGAATCCTTTAATTTGTATTTAAAAAATTTATTAATGAAAATATTAATGTTATTTGTTGAAAACCAGCAAAGAACTATTGATGTTTTGAATCAGGCTGTAAAATATAAATTTATGAATTAGTTTCAAATGAAAATGGAGATTAAATTTGATAATTTGATAATACATACATTTTGGAGCCTCCTTATAAGAAATAGCAGCCTCTTCACCCATTGCGCTAATAATAGTAACCATAAGTTCTTTACCTAATCACATTTTAAAATTAATTTAATAATTAAATTTCTAAAATTATATATATGTGTTTATATTTATATATTAAAGCCAGCCACCTTCATCAAAATCAGATCGAATTTTATCACCCAATTCGCCATCTGGAATACGAACATCATCTTTGGTAGCGCCATCAGAAGTCATCAAACTCAAAAAACCGTCATCATCGATGTTCAAAAGTTGGTATTCAATACCTTTTTTTAAAAATAAAAAATTTGTAAATAATATTGACAAAACTGCGCAAAAAAATTTAAAACTTACGGTTAACATTTGGAACATCCATATTGTGAGTGGATGGGGAAAGATCTTTCATGAAATTATTTCATAACAAGTTTAAAAATTTAATAAATTTATCATTCATTAAAATATTCCTCCAATTAACTCCAGCGAATTTTTTATCATGATTTTTTTACCTTCAAGTTTCTTTCCAGTAAAAATATCAATACCAACAAGATGAACTTTCTATGATTTAAAATCATAATGAAATTATCGCATTTATATTATAAGATTTATAAGATTATGATTTATCATTACCGCATGACCATGTTTACCAGTTTTACTGGTAGTCATTTCAACAATCTTGCATGGTCTACCTTTAAGCATGACAAATCCATTCTAAAATATATAAAACATTTGTACTTTCGCATAAATTACTTTGTTTTTTATAAGTATACGGCCTAATTGGGTAAATTACCTTTCTAAGGGAAGAACATTGAACAGGATAAGTGGTCGATGCGCCTGATCCAGAAGTATCAAAATCGTGATGTTGATGTTCTTCGTCTTCCATATTATATCGTTGTAAAAAAAAAAAAAATAATATAAATGGAGCGTAACTAAAAATCCTATCATTGGCTTATTATTGTATTACAAGATCAAGATCGATCGACCAATGAAATCAATTCATTGGTGATGTAACGTAATGCAGTCAGGGTTTTTATATACCATAAATGGATTGATGCTGATCCCTCCTTTTGTATATAGTAAAGGAATTTTCTTCAAAAATAATAAGCAAATTTAATTTTTTTGTCTTTAAAAAAAAAAAATACACACGAAGCAAGTTATAAATAGAATTTTTAACCTTTTTATTTACTTTGCTTTTCTTTGGCTAGTTAAAGTCTCACAACAACCAATTTTAACACAATACAACACAATATGTGATAATGACTTTAGTTAATAACTGTTAACCTTTTGTATATATGATTGATTATCTATCTTTTATATTTTCAATTACTAATTTTTCATCTTTCTTTTTTCTAAATTTCTGAGGCATTTGATTATATTTGTTCATCATTAGAATTAAATGCTTGGTGAATTAATAGCCAGTCATGTTTATTATCAGCAGAGCTGTTCACTTTGTGCATTTAATTTTATAGTGGATATTTTTTATCTACAGAATGTGGAAGATCCATGGGTTGTTAATGCAACAAAAAATTTTGAAACATTGATAAATGAGGTTCATAAGGTTGCAATGACAGCATTTGGGGAAGAGAGAAGCTGTTGAAAATGAGTTACACAAGATAAAAATAGAAGATCTAGGATATGACCATCCATTATGTTCAGGAATACGCATCAAATGGGACTAATAAAGATGAGGGTAGTAGGTTTGATTGGATTTTCTCAGTAAGTTGCTTTTGCCTTGCTTAAGATTTGCTGTGGTTCTGTTGTTATATGTTGTTTAGTTTTGATATTTTATTATTCCACTAAGGTTCATGATCTTGGAAAAGAAACCTATTGGGGCCATGAATTAGGTTTGTTTGAGAACACTGGCACCAAAATTGGAAATAAAACTAAGCTGTCATCAAACTTTGTAAAAATCTTTGTGATATGCTCCAAATCATTGACAGAACCCTTCCTCCTAGAGGTAAATAAAAAGAAATTGATGAAGCTAGATTGCTGGTTACACTTCTGGCAATTATCTACTCATCATGAAGGTATAATGTAATTGCACTATCAGCACTTTACTCAAAGTGGTATGATGTTTCAGATATAGATTATTTTGACATTCCACTGATGATCAGTGAAATCCACCAAGATCTCAAATGTTGCAGTGTTATTTTAAATGTCCATGTAAGTACAGAAAATTGATTCTCATTTGTATTTATTAATCTAAATTTACTCCAATTTGGCATAAATAAAATATCCTTAAAGAAACAGTTGATATTTATAAATGCTACATTGAGATAGCTAGAGAAGAGAAATTGAATGATTCAAGTAAAGAACCATGGGTTGCTGAAAATAGATCTCCAAAATAAAGATTAATAATTAGTTGAGATTAAATGTATTGTTTGATCATTATCAATGTTCTTGATGATTACTCCATTCAAAATGATCATATTTTGAAGATTATTTTCAATATCATAAATTACATTAAAGACTTGGTACATGTGTGGTGATTAAAGTACAAAAGAATTTACTTTATCATGTTGTTGCATCATATCTCAATATCCTGGGTTTGAACTTTTAAAATGGTGCAAGAAAAACATCGCAAAAAAATAGAGAATACAAAAAAAATTATAAGTGATCATTTTAGCGGAAATCTCTACATTATTCATCAGGAAATTAAAAGAATGTTGATAGAAGCTGCAAATTTAATATGATAAACACGACAATGATTGATGCCATTTTTAACATTAAACAATACGTGGTGTTGTTTGACGTCTTGTTAAGTGTTGTAAATTTATTATATAAAAACTTTTCCATTAAAATTTTTTTTATACGATTTTATAATATTTATATTAGAATTTAATGATTATTTAATTATCATAAATTTACAAATTATTTAAATTATTTCTTTAAAAATAAATAAATTTATATTGGGTTTTCCAAAACATGAATTGGTTGTAAAATTGAAATGATACAATAATTTGAATAATTAATTGGTTGTACTAAAAAAAATGTAATGGATTTATCATTGAAAAAAATATTTATTTACCACATTTTTATGAAATGCTATTCAATACTTCCAATAAGTTTGGTCTCTGTGTGATTTCGCAATATTACAGACAAGTAAACATTTTTTACATTTAAATTTGTTAATTAATTAATCACTGATATAATTTAAGTATATCCTTTGTTTATACTACAGTGCGGATCATCTATACTCAAAAGTTAATTTTTGAAATATTATGTGATCCACACATTGGATTTTAAAAAACCCACCACCATTTAAATCAGCTTTAAAAGGGGAGTCTATTAATCTAAAAAAAAATTTTGCCTCAAATTTTCTTTTCATAGATTTTTTAAATTTGAAAGTTATGCTCAGAAGTGCAACAATAATTTTCGTGTTGAATCTCAAGACCAAAGTTGGTAATGATTTTCTTTTAATGTAATATGTTCGTTAAACTTTTTTGTTGTAAAGAACTTTTATTTATTAATAAAAA